TTTGCATCCCTGAGCGCTAGGAATCAGGTGCAGTTAAAGACAATTTTTTGCAAATTTCTAGTTGGTCTAATAAAAGATATCACCTATACCACAAGTCCTGAGATATCGTGTGGAGCATTCCTGATAAGCCTTTGGAGGTGGAAGGCTGCAGGGTAGGATTTTCACCGGAGGACTCTGCACCCTGAAACTTAATTCCTTCATTCAGCCAGCAAAACAGAAGCATCTCATCCTTCTACATATATCAACACTTCTCTTTTCTCAGGCTTCTGCATGCGAGGGGAAGGAACCTAACATTCTAGAGACCTGTGCTAAACATTGGCTAGATGGCAAGAATCTTTGCAGTGTAATTAATCTAGTTAACAGAAGTGCTCTTACTGTAGCGTGGACATGAAATCCAGTATGACTTATCTTCCTGTATGGTGGTCACCTTGAGAACTTGTAATGGAAAACTTATTTTCAATAGTGGATTCTTCCCCTCCCCCATCCACGTCTTGGTTATTACAGATAATAGATGATGACCACTCCTGACATGTTCCAGTCTCTGTCATACAGGGTGTAGAAAGAGGGTTGTCTTACTGCATTTGGAGAAGGTATAACTCAGTTCAGGGGATCTGGATAACTGAACCATCAGTGGCTCATGGAAAGAAGTTTTCAGAAGGTGAAACTTCTACACACATTCCTCTTCATTCACAATATAAGGGGGGAATTGGTGACTCTAGTGCCTATTGCAAAAAGGGAGGGGCTGTTGAAAGAAATGATCTTTAGATGTCTGTTTTTGGCAGCAGAGCATACCATGCACTCAAATAAATCTTGAATTAACAGTGTTGGGATTGTCTGTAATTTGAAGCTCTTCTAGTACTGTAGATAAAACTGAGCTTTTTGAAATGTGTATGTAAGAATCTCTACTATAATGTAAAAAGCATTATTCAGCTGAGGAAATGCTCTGAATACTACCTTTTTAAATGGGGTACGGAGGGCTGTTGGAATGAGAGGCTATTAGAGATTGAGTGATGTACAAATGATCTTATTTTTCAGCACTTTTCACTATGTTGCACTTAAGTTTATTGTATGTACTCACATTCTTCTAGTGCTTGAATCTGAGAAGCTTACTATTCATTTTATGTTGTGAAAATGGAATTATATTAGAAAGATATTCCACTACAGTTTTAACTTTTGTCATTGACTTCCATATAGCTCTTTCCACTTAAATCACGAGTCCCTGCAGTAGGTTTAAGAATGGGAAGGAAGCAAGTATCCAAAATACATATTCAAGTCTTAACTCCTACTACTGCTGACAAGTGAGCAGAGAGAAGCTGGAGGATAAAGCGTTTGCAGTGGTAGAGGACATGAAGTAGATTTTCTATCCAAAATAAAATACAGACAAATGGTACGAAGTATTGTAGCACTTGTTAGAAGCAAGTGTTGTGAACCTAGTTTAAGTTATACGAAGTGGAGTCCAGAAGTATAATGAGTTTATTTTGCAAGTGCCACCTTGTACAGGCAGTGAACAATTACATTTTATAGTACAAGATCACAGTAAAGTCTTGTTCTTGGATCAAGTCAACTGTTTTCACTGTATTAAAGATGAATGAGCCAAGACTCTTGTCAGGTTATAACTACCTTACCATTTATCGATAATGCTGCAGATAAATTAGTTTCTGAGGAGGAAATTTCTCTCTGCATAATGGACACTCTGCCTGCAGAATGGAAAGAAATTAGATAACAAGTGGTGAACAGCTTTTGAAAACAATGAGTAAAGCTGCTAGAGGAAACAGAGTTGACCTAATTAGAAACACTAAATCAGACCAAAGAAAAGAAGTCAAAGTCATCTGAGTCCATCCCCTAAGAAGAAAAAGCATAGAAGAAAGTTCACTAACCACTAGTAAATTATTTTGAAAGTAAACTAACAAAAACATAGTAGCTCTGAAACAGGTTGGGGGCCAGGCCACAACTCCCTCCTAACTATTGGGGCAGGGCTGGGTTGGGGCCTGGCCTGTCTCCCCCCCTGCACCTTCTCCTTCCCTCTCTACTGGGCTAGGATGGGGCCTAGCCACACCCTCTTTTTTTCCCTATGGGCTGGGTCAGGCTCCTTTCCCCTGCAGGACTATTGGGGCCAGCCTGGCCCTGTCCATGCAGCCAGATGGTGCCTACCCAGGCACTGGATTCAGAATACCAGCTGGATCTGACCAATACACAGACTGGGCACTACCAATCCTGCCTGCCAAATGAAGAGATTGGGTACCACTGTTCTAGGCAGTTGCCTTCTATATTCTCTATACCTCAACTGCCAGGTAACCTTACTGTCACAATGTATGGGCTTCTAGAAGCTGAGCTGCTAGAGCTATATTTAGCTATTTACTAAATATAATTTGCCAAGAAGAGTGTGAATGTTAATATATAGATGCATCTACATGCAACAGTCCTGATGAGACAGGTGGCACCATGTGATCCTGCAAATCTTAAGCATTCTAATAACTGAGAAGTTTTATTCTCCATGGTAGTTCCCCTTTGTTCTTGTTGGTGATTCCATGAGTGTTACTAATGGCTGAAAAAGATCACTCTTATGGTAGCAGGTTAGATTACCAACCCTGTAGACGACTTCTGTTATTTTTACAGCAGACTACAATGGGGTTTTTGCAGGAAGGTTACCAAAAAAGCTCATGTAAAGCTACTATTACAACAAAAATATAGCTTGCTCCTCTACTGCAAGCTCCCAAATCACTATCCTCAGAACTGGAATCACACTTTCTGCTTACTGTCAGAAAACTAGCCCCAGAGAATTTGAAAAAACTGATAGATTTCCTGTTCATACCCCCCAACCCAGCAGATGAAGTCTGTTGTAGTATTAACTCTTTAGTTAACATATAGTTATGGTCTGGCTTGCAGCAGGTATGTTCTCTAGGTTCACAAAAACACTTTTAAACTATGTTAGCCTCCAAGAAAGGTACAGTGCTTCAATAAAGCTGCAGGTAAAATATTGGTGTCCTTTTCTGTTCTCATTATTGCAACACAGAAACATTTTACACAGTTGTTTGCTACTTAAGTCAGTCAATCCCCATTTTGGCAGGCACAGATCTAGCCCCTGTGGACTGGGGCCTTTTGAGTCTTCTCAATAACAGGGAAAGGCTACTATTTCTGAACATTAATCTATAGTCATGAACTCAAATCCAAATTCTCCCTCACTTACTTTGGTGTTACACCACTCTGTGATGCATTCCCAACAGAACAGGTGGCCACAGGGAGTGGCAGTTGCATGCCTCCGTTCTTCCAAGCATAATGTACAGCGGGAACGGTGTCCTAGAGGCTTTTCTTCTGTGAGATTTCTGATTGAATATATAGTTTACATGCTTAGGCTGCTGTAAATTGTAGGCACCCTTATTGATACAACATACGCAAACAGGCCCACTGAAGGTTAGGTATTAACTTCACATATTCCTCTCATTGAAGGTATTTGAGATACAGTGATACTGAGCTCTGCAGAATAAAGTATGAGGTTTGATTAAGAGACACGCTCAGATGCTTAAAATAATCTGAACTATAGTTCATTTTTTTGTTAAAATAGCTCTTAAATGCCAACTGGAACTGTTGCTAGAGGTGCACTGATGCATCAGTCTGATATCGGATCAGGACCGATATGAAGAAAGTTTACTATATCGGAAATCAGCCTGATGTAGCCGATAAATGTCTGTGCATGTGCACAGTGCAGCACAGGTGGTGAGGAGCACAGCCCAGCAGCTTGAAAAGCAGAATGCAGCTGGTAAGTCTGTTGTGGTAGAAGGAGAGGGATGTGGAAGGGGCAGACCAAGGCCCCTGTGGTAAGGGGTTGGGGCTAGGGCAGGGACTGCCCAGTTGGGGTGGGGCAGGGCATGGCACTAGACAGCTGCAGCTCATCCACAGGGCTTGAGGGGGGAGGGGTGGCTCCTGTTGCTGCGTGCACCCTGGGAGGCTGGGGGGGAGGGGGACCAGCATGTGCCTCTGGATCTGCAAGGGGGTGCTGGCAGGGACTGTGCTCCAGGCAGGTGGTGGAAGTGCTGGGAGAAGGCTACATTGATTTTTGGGGTGGCTGCAGCCCCCTTGCAGCACCACCTGCCCCAGCACAGTCCCTGCCTAACACCTCCCCCACCCCCACCCCAATGCACCAGGAAGACCTGGTGCAGCCCCAGCCCAGTTTGCCCAAGCCTACAGTGCATGCTCTTCCTGTGCACTGGGAAGAGCCCAGCCCGCAGTCTGTCCTGGGGTGTACACAGTGATGGAAGCTGCTCCCCTACTCCCTGCACCCCCTGGATAAGCTACAGCTCCATCCCCAGCACTACTCCCTCCCTCACCACTGAGGCCTTGATCTGCCCCCTCCAAGTCCCTTTTATCCCCCTTCCCCCACAGCAAACTTACCAGCTGCGAGATCTGCCAGGTTTGGTATTGGAAATCTGATTGGTATCAGCTGATATGCCTCCTTAAAAATTGGCTATCAGTATCAGCCCCCAAAATTTCTATCGGTGCATCCCTACTAATTACTCATTAATTATAGCTGTGAAAGTTCCCCACATTGTTCCTGCTTCCACCCCATCTAAGAAAGTAAGGAATCTCATACTTTTGATATGAGAGGTTACGGTGTAGCTTCCACTCTTGTCTTGCCCTCTGCCTTTGCTGAAAACTGTATATCTGAATGCCAACTGTTAGTACAAGGTGTAGCAGAGAAACTATCCCAAGAAGCTTGTAACTTGATCGAACACTCTGATCATCTCCAGGCAGTCCTGCAACACGAAGCTGCATCATTCAGGGAGGAAAAGAAAAACTGAATTATGACTTTATAGAAAGTGTCACATGTTCATTCATGAGCTTTACTATCATTCCATCACTATCTCATTTTTGACTCCCATTTTCCTAAGGCAACACAATTTTGCAAGGAACTAAGTAACTAGCCTGAAAAAGATAAAAATGAAGCGACTATGTACATGTTCTCATTTGCCTATACCAGAGGTTTTCAACCTTTATTAACGAGTGTACCCCTTCTGGTGGGTACCCCTCCTGGACTGTACTCAGCAGCTGGTCAGCAGGTGGGAAAGGGGGAGGGAGCTGATGGCCAGCCGGATGCGAAGGAGGAGTACTTGGGCAGCGGCAGGCAGCGGCACACTTCCCAAGTACCCCCACTTCTCTGTGCCACTGCTGCATACCCTCTGGGGCCTTTCCAAGTACCCCCAAGGGTACACGTACCCCCAGTTGACAACCCCTGGGCTATACCACTGGTGGCCAACCTTTTTGGTGGGAGTGCCACAAATTAGCCTTACAACCTTCACTCCAATTTCCTGCCCAATCTGACACTATGCCTGCCCCCTTCCCAAACTGTGTGCCACACAGAGAGGCTACCTGTGGCCCCTGGGCTGCAGGTTGGCCACCCCTGCCCCATAGGGTCATACCAACTACCAGCACTTCTACATTTGGTAGCAGGCATACATGAGCCCCTAAGAAAGTTGACAGCAGAAGACAGTCTCTTGCTTTCCAAAATTAGTCTGAACTGGTCTCCTAATGTGCCTAGATTTGCTAACCATTACCAGTCAAAGCAAGAGAGAAACCTTACCCATATATTACTGAGACCACCTTCTCTAGCTGTTTGACTCCAGGTGAAGCCAAATACACTATGTGAAGAAATGGTTTTCAAGAAACAAGTTCTGCTACTTACATATGTTATTCCTGTGATCCTTTTAGATAAGTGATAGAAAATGCCATTTATATAAAATATTGCCAGATGCAGTCTTCGAAACAGGGGGATGCACTGTTTGAGGATATACACAGTTTGTAAGAGGACATTCTTCTGGTTTTCCGTGAGTCTTGTGATCTGTTTCTGCAGCCAACTTCGTACCGAGGTTCTGCTCCTTGCACCAAACCCCGGTCTACTCTGACTAGTTCTCCATCCATCAGCTTCCACCTGCAACTCGTGTTCCAGATGCGCTAATCCTTTATCCAACAAATAAGGCACAAGTGCATGAAAAGAAATCAAGACGGCACGGCGAAGAAAAGAAGGGACTCTCTTTTTGGATGAATCGACTTGGACAATATTAACATACTCTTCACCAAGCGTCTGATAACCTGGAAGACGACGTGGATAATACAAAATAAGAAGGCAGTATTACGTCATTCCCTGGGCTGCTGGGCAATGTTGACATGGCTCGTTAAAAGGCAAGTTGTGTTTCGGAGTCCAAGCGTTAGGGCCGAGGGCTGCAATCATTATGTTAAGATTGCGCAAAACTGTGAAGCCGAATCCTGCAAACGCTGAATGGCGAGCATGTTACTGGGACCTTTACTTTTTTCACTGAGGCGGCTGTTTTCAGACAGCGACTTTACAAGGGCTGAGGGAGCCCAGCCAGGTCTTGCAGGTGAGCTGCAAAGTGCCAGGCCCTGAACCAGCAATTCCCGACCCGGGGATGCCCCAGCTTCTTCCAAGGAGCCACGACCCGCCGCTGAACCCACCCGGAAACCCCCCAGCTCTTCAAGGGCCTTTCCCCGGGGCCAGCTCTGCAGCCGCTCACCGGCCAGGGTGGTGAGGCTGAAATACGCCACGTCCGACAGCAGCTCCAGCTCCTTCCTCCATCCCAGCCACGTCCGGGCACCTGCGGGGGCGGCCGTTAGAAAGGGAAAGGGGGGACGGCCGAGTCACCCCGGCCCCCCCGCCCCCGCGGCGACCCTCACCTGCCAGCGCGTGCAGCGCCGCCCCGGCCCAACTGCGCAGCCCGCTCCGGTACAGCTCGTCCTTCTGCCCGCAGCGCACCAGCTGCGCCGGCCCAGCCGGGATCAGCGACATCCGCGCGCTGGACGGGAGGAGGCAGGTCCCTCCTCGGCCTCGTCCGCCGCGCGGAGTAACTCGGGCGCGCCGTCCCCAGAATGACGATCTCCCCCCCGGTGGCGCAGGCGTTGTGCGTCACAGCAGCGCTCGCCTGCGCCTCGCCGCCGCGCTACCCAGAGTCCTTTGCTGCCGCTCCCCTGAGGCCTCTCATGTGTGACTGGCCCCGTTGCCGCGCGTGGGGCTTAGGGAGCCCGTAAAGCTGTCCTCCTCTAGGGGCGCGTCAAGTCCCAGCCGGGGTCGCCTCCCGCTCAGAAACGAAACACCGCGTATCTGGGGCCAAGGGGGCACCCGAGGACCCTATGGCTGAGGGCAGGAAAACTCGGGGGCACCCGAGCCCCAGGCCTCCGGGCTTGGGCCTGCACATAGAGCGCCCGCCAAAGGGTTTGGAAACGTCTGAATCCCCAGGTGCGGGTGGAGGATGTTTGTCGCTAGTTGGGCCATTTACGGAGTCATGAAATTGGAATTAGTTTTGGCTAATTTGGTTTCAGATACAAATTAAATTAAAAAAAAAATCTGGGTCCATGAAGGCAGTTTTCCTTAAGCCTCCCCAGGGATAATTGTTCTTTTGCAGTTTAGTACCTGCCTAGGTGTTGGGGCTTAATGCCCATTTTATGGAAATGCTCCCTAGCTTGCTCCTGCGGCCACATGTCTGAGGGCAGGTGAAACTTGGGGGCATCTGAAACCCAGGCCTCCGGGCTTGGTCCTGCATGTAGGATGCCCGCCAAAAGACTGGAAATATCTGAAGCCCCTGGTGGGGGTGGAGGATGTTTGCTGGTTGTTGAACCACTTATGGTTCTGGACTGACTTGCAGATTTGGACTTGATTTGGCTTGGAACATGAAAAATTTATTTAAAAAAAAAACATGATCTCAAATGCTAAAGAGCAAACACATGCAGGGAAAACCCAGAGACTAATTCCCAGAGACTGCCTTATTTGAGGTGTCAGGCCGTAAGTGTTGCATGTGTCCCAGGAAAGCTCATTTTGGGACTTGCTGTCATCTCTCGTTCCTTGGTTCCAAACCACATGGCTGCTCCACTCCATGTTCCTCCATTAAACATGTCAGCAGCTGAGGCAAGCAAACCTGGGTCCTGACTGTGGAAATAGTGGGGTACTTTGGAGTCTGGTCTTGTGTTTTTCCCGGAGAAAGTCATTCCTGTAAATCCTAATAATCCAGTCCGTGCAGAACAGCATGTTTTTGAGCAGTGCAGTTTGTCTTCACTAAACACCCAGCTGTCATAGTGCAGCATCTGAATCATTTCTCTTTGTGGATGACTCGCTGATAAATGGCAGCGCTTGGGAAGAGACGGAAAAGATGAATGCATCATATCAATGTTATCTTAAAATCACCAGTGATCCTGATAAATTACTCTTCAAATTGCACCTAATCCCTGGTTTACTTACTGTTGGGGACTTGAATATGTGTCTTTCTAGACAGACCAGTAAATCATGGAATCTATGATTTATTGGACTCCACAAGGAAAATGTAAAAGAAAGAACCAGCCAAGCTGTTGCCACTAATGTTGAGGCTGCTGGTGTTCTGGACAGCATGATGTTTCTTCCTCGCACTCCTTCCAATCAATGCCTTTTTGAAAGAAAACAGGATGGCAGTACTTATTCTTTCAAAATGCCATAATCTATCTTTCTGCATCTTAAAATATGGCATTGCCCTGTTATTTGCCAAGCTGTGTTTACATATGTCTTCTGAACAGATTTTAAAATGTGTTGAAACGAAATACATGATTTTTGAGATTCTGGATTTGTTTCCTTTCAGTAATTCTAATCATTTTTGTTTAAAGACTAGAACAAAGGAGAAGATACTTTTCCATTTTTTTAAATCTAAAGGAAAATTATTGTTTTTAAATAAGTAAATATTTGACCTGCAGACTGTGGAAACCCAAGCATTACAATACAAAAGTGGAACTGATCATAAACCCTGTGAACTGACCAGACATTTTAGTGATTTCCTTTTATCCATGCTGAAAGAAATGTAAACAGTAGGTAAAAACATTCATAAGTAAACTTGATTTTTACGGTTCTCAAACTTCCTGTGATCTGACATTAGTAGCAGTATACAAAGAATTCAGAACAGTAAAGTTCACGTTATAGTAGAGCAAAGATATTCAATGAAAGAAAATAATTTAATCACAGCATCTTAGATAGAGTGTTACTGAAGGATATCACAATATTCGCAAATTTAAGCCCCTTTCAACAAATACGTTAAGAATTCCACATTGCTCAACTGGGTAGTACCCCTGAACTCAACAGGAGTCTTGGTGGATGAAATCAAGTGCTTGTGTCTGCAGGACTGAGGCCTTCACGAACGGGAATTCAGTTGATACACGCAGTACTTTAAGGCACGCCACGGAAAGGCACCCTCATTTGGAGCAGAAGGCACAGCTGCTGAACAATGGACAACCATATACCAAAGCAGTCCTGGGTAGTTAGATACCTTATCTCACTGAAAATATATGGGGAATTTAGGAAGCAGAATGTAATTATCCAGTTTGGAATTCTGCCAGAACACTTTAGCTTACTGCTCAACCCACAAGAAAAGCAGCAAGGTTCTCCTTCCAGGTTTATGTTTTAAAAAGTACAACTGAGAACCTTTTGTGTTGGCTGGGGTTTTGTTTTTTTATTTGTTTAATGGTTGTCTTGGTTATGGATTTTACAATGGGCAAGTGGTTGGTGACACTAATTTGCTTGCTTTCAATTCTTTCTGATTGTTAAATATTGAAAGATGGATAAAATACTTCAAATAGAATGCTCTTGTAGGCAGTGCCTTCCAGACAGCACCTAGTGCTCTGGAATCACAACCATAGCAGGGCTTCTCCCACAGTGCAAACTAATACTCTGTCCTCATGGAGGCAATTGAAGTAGTTGCTAGCGATTTTCTGCAGGAGATAATGTGGTCTGTGATTCATGGGAAGTTATGTATTCAACAAACAACCTCTCTGAGCGTAAGGTTGATAGTGAGAAAAAAGGCTTAGAAAAAAGTCTCCTCCAGAAGGACAGCAGGTGGGGCAGTTGCCTCAGAAAACATCCCAGGATCATGCAGTCAGTGCAGCATCATCTCTTCACTTACTCAGCTGATATGCATAGGGAGGGAGAAAACCACCTTTCTTGAGGGAGAAAACCATCCTGTACTTAGTATTTCATTTTATTCTTTCTTGGAATATCATTATAACATTGCCCATCCAAAACATCCAAAAACACGAGTCTGGTCCAGCAAATAATGTGATTGGTTTAAAAATTGTAAGATTTGTTTTAAAAAAATCAATAGGGTGGGGGCAGGATTTGTCTTTATATTTTTATTTTGGTTTCTGAGCCTTTGGGCTAGATTTGCTTCACCTTTTCTTGTGTTTCTTAGCAACCATGAGGGTTAGAAGCTTTTTCAGGGACTGTTGAGATTCCCATGGTATACACTGATTCCAACACTTGAGGCTTTAAGAACACTGCCAGATGTTGCAAGGCTCATGATAAAATCATAAGACCTTACAGTGCTGTCACCATTACAGTAATGCCTGATATTTAAGATAAGTGTCAAGTAATGCACCAGACCCTTCCCTTGTTTGAATTTTGGGATGAATTTGGGTAATCAATTTATTTGTCAAGGTACCTGTGAAAGAGAAGTGTTATATGTTGTGTTACAATACGTTTCTTAAAAGATACCTTGTTAAAGAAATGTGTAGTGTTTCTTGTAAAAATAGGCAAGTATCATTCTGTCTGTTTCACAGGTAGGGAAACCAAAGCAGAGGTTGATCCTGGAGCTTTGAAGATGTCATTTAGTGTGAAAGCTGGAGTTACGGCACACTTTTTTCCTGGTCCTTGATCAGACTATTCAGAAATCATATATAGAACTGAGAAGAACTGCAGTCTTATGAAGGTGAGAACTGTATCTCTGCTCAGATTTCTGCATTTCTTGGGGAATGAATGGTGAATGCTGCTAGCTTGTCAATTAACATATTTCTGGTTGTGTCCCACTCTTTTGTATTAGTTGAGCAGCTCTGGGGTTAAACTCTTGAATGTTTAATTAACTAATTGTGAAAATGTGTGGCAAATGTACCTTATCTGACAAAGGGTGTTGGTACCCGAAAGCTTGCAAAGAAGATTTTTTCCAACTATCTTAGTTGGTCTAATAAAAGATATCAGTTTACCCAAAGAAGTTTGTCTGTCTGTCTCCTTAGATCAACACAGCTACAACCCATACCCCTTATATATTTTACCACTCAGACCTGCTAGGTCTCAAATCCTGTAGTTTTAAATACATGCTTAATTTTAAATACACAAGCAATTTGCAATGTGTATTGGGATCCTAGTATGTATAGGGTAAGATGAAGTTGTATGGAGATCACAGTAATGGTTTTATTTCCCTGTCACAAACCTCTGGATCATGGGAATAATTTATATTTGCATCATAGGGGCCTTATTTAACTTCCTAATAAACTGACATTAGCACAGCACTCTGAAGAAATTAAGTGCTATGCAAGAGTTCTGATATTTCACAAACAGAGGACCCAAGTGTGTCTGCTCTCCCTAGGGGGCAGCATTGACTTGCCGTGCTGACAACAAATTTCACTAATACAGTCTTTTTCTAAGCTGCCCCCCAAAATGAGTTACTACAATAAATAACCCATGACTTAAAATACTTGCAATTTTGGAATGTTCATTAAATTTGGAAATACAACCAGGTGTAGCATTACCAGTTCACGAATGGTTTGCCCTGGTATGTTTTACTCCCATTTCTGCATATATTCCTCCTTTTGAGGGTCATATCCTTATTTTCTGACCAAGGAAAGTTAATTTGCAGTTTCTAACATAAAATATGGAATGAATATGGTAAATTCAATAGGTTTCTACCTAGAAATCGTGTTCTTAAACCGAAAACTAGGAACAGAAGTCTTTGTAATATGGGGTGATGTTATGGACCCCTTTGTACAGTTACTTGCCTGAATAGGTTTATTTGAATGGCTCCTCACCACTTGAAGGATGGGGTTTCTATCCTCACCATTAGCTCATAACTCAAATAAAAAATCACTAACAAATTGAACAATAAGGGAAAAACGTAACATGCCCAAATTTCAGAAATTACTGAACATTAAGAAAAATGCAGTAGTAACTGTTTACAGGGCAAGGCTACTAGTTAACATGAGATGTGATGTGGTAATCAAATCTTTGATATTCTGCCCCCAAACACTCAAGACATCAGGTTTATCATAAAACAGATCCATGTGGGCTGTTTTCCAGTCTTGCCTGCTGGCATATATTCTTTTTTTCACATTGTTTCTTGCTGTTCTTCCTGGCCAGTGTAGTACAAATGAGCTATACTTCTTTTGTGAGTGTGCTAGGAAAGGAAGGGAAAGACAGGTTCTCTGCCTGTCTGGGAGCCAGCGACAGGCTGCAGGGCTCAGCCTATACTCAGGCTTAATTTTCAACTCTTTCATTGCTCTTCTTCTCTGGGAAAACTGTAGGAGTAGGAAAGGGATAATGGAAATAATGAGTTTGTTCACCAAGCTAATTGCATTTTTGGTGATTTAATCTTTCATGATGTTCCTTGAGAATCCCGGTGTTCTCTACAGCAGATCTTAAGTGGTGTCAGGCAACCTTGTCTTAAAGGTTGCATGTTTGCCTAAATAACTTCTTGTCATTTTGACAGCTCATTTGTATTCTCTCTGGATTATGTTAAAGTTCCTGTTCCTAGTGCATGTTATTAATGTATAGGTACTTATTTTAAAAAATCCTGTGCCGCTGCACTCCACTTGTAAAGCGGGGCTTTCTGACAGAAGGGCCTGCAAGTGTCACCCTGCATACTGATTTGTGGCTATCAATTCAGAGTTGAAAGTTGCTAGTACCAGACTCAAGTTCTGTGCTTTGAACAGCAGAGACAGTGAGTTTTGAATGGTTGGGAATGAATGGCACTTCAAAGCCCTTGCCTTGTGTGGGGGGAACATTCACTAGCAAATAGTCTGGGATGTGATGTCTGGTCAGCTTATCAGCTGTGCTTTAATTTTTTATTCCTCTTTGTAGAATAATTGTTGTAAAAAAGCCAAGACACTCTAATAAAAAGGACTACTAAAGAATTCTCTCACTCTCCATATCATTGTGAGTGAATGGTATAGGTTAGCTTTGTTTCCACAACTGGGCTGTGTTTGAATCTGGTGTTAACATATCAACCCATAACTGCAAATGTTGTTGTCCTTCATTCTTCTGTTCAACATTTTGCATGCTTTAGCAACCAGCATTGGCCCAAATAGTCCTTGGGAGGGAGCTTACGTATCCCTTTGACTTTGTTGAGTTTGCTTATGTGCAGCTGAGACCAGTTTGGCCCAAGCCATATTGCAACATTGATAGGTTTTGATGGTGTTGTACACAGTTGGAACATGTCATTTTCCCAATTCAGGTCTCCTCTGTGTATGACCTATGCTCAAAAGCCCCAGAGGGGAAAAGGAATGCAGAGCACTAATTCTTCACTCTGGAACCTACAGAGAAGGTGTTCTTGGATATGATTCAGGGACGGTGCGTACATTGATTGGATTTGCATACTCTCTGAACTATGTAGCCCAGAAATTCTTTTCCCTGGCAAATATTAAACTATGGGATGATGGGTGAGGAATAGAAAGATGTGGTTGCCCTGGATATGGTCACAGGCTAATGCGTTGAGTTTCTTGCTCAGTATATATTTAGTAATTTCAGTACGAAAGAACATATTATATCTGTACAAAGGATTATGCAGCATGTTGCTTTTTCCTAATTGAGCACAGAACTGTTACACTTACTGAGCTAGGGAACATACTGTGGTGTTGTTTTCATTGATGAGTGCAAGGCCTGGTGCATATCCTAAAAATCATGTAGCGATCTGCTCAAAATCATCCTGGATATTCAAAATATAAGGAATATCTGAAATGCCATGGCAAATGACAGTGCTGACTGACAGCCAAAACTGATGGGTACAGGATTCACTATCTGATGCTGTAGTGGAAGACAAAACCCCATTGGACACACCTAGCTAATTGTTCTGTGCCTTATGTGCTAGAGGACTCTTTCCTTCCAGATTTGTGCTGCATCATTGTATGCCCATAAGCTTTCAACTAGTTTTAGAGTCTCTTTGCATGTAGTTTGATTTTTACCTGCAGCCATACCATCTATAAAGACCTTTTTCAAACTCAGTCACAGAATCTGACTCAGAAATTTGCAAGACTGAAATTATTTTTTGCAGGCTTGACAACAGACCTGATGAGGCAGTTATTCCACAGGTAGTTACACAAGGAAGTATGAAATGTAAAACAAATCCAGTGTGGGGTAATGATTAACTCTCCCTCCCACATGTAGCTTGTCTGTGTGTTATTAAATATGGTTTCATCTTTCAGGCTTGCTAGTGTGAAACAGTGCAACATTCTAACATGGCAATAAACAGATGTTTCAGTTTCCAACCTGAAGAACAGGTTTTCCTGATAAAAAAAGGACTTACCAACTGTCCAAAATTGTTTCCACCCTCCGATTCCCTTTGCCTCCTCCCCCTCTGAACTTGTTACCCTGGAGCTGAACTGTTTGAACAAGGACTGTAAGAGTTGCTTTGTGATCAGTGAGCTGAGAGTCCTTAACATGTAAAATGCAGGGGAGGAGACTTCAGCTTCAGATTGTGCTGCACGTTTTCTTTTTTTTGCAATTCATATGAGACTCCGTATACACAATGCAGAGAGGCTGGGACAGAATTGGCTCTACACTGTTGAGAGAAAAGAGATAAAGGTGTGTGCTTTTTGTCCGCCCTCCCCCCTCATCCCCCACTTTCCCCTCACCACCAAGAACCTTTCCTTTCTAACACTTTCTTAGCTTGCCAATCCGAAACTAGTTCTAAAACTTCTAACAAGCTGCTGTAGCACTATCAGCAACTTTATGGTTACTGCAGAACTTGTTAGATCTGTTGGCCTCTGAAGTTATCCAGAATCTAGAATGGAAAAGCACCCAACCTTGGGTGTCTTATGTTTATTTTATGTTTGTAGATGTACTTTCTAGTTAGGAGAATGCATTTAAGCTTGGGAGCTCTGTCAGGGCTTCTAACTTTTTTTTTCAGCATGAAGGAAGGAAAGAGACTGCACTTACGTGAAGCCTTCGTATAATACTAGGAGATTGTGGTGGTGCCTATGTGGTTTTTATTTTTTAAATTAGGCAAATGCTTTTTTCAACATGGAAAATTATTGCACTCATTTTGCTGAAATATCAATCCTAAACATTGAGGAGCACTGAGCTCATGCAAGGATTATTAGTCCAAAGGGAGGTTGGCTTGGCTAAGGAAAGTTGATTGTAGAGGGGCACTTGAGTGAGTGAATGGTAATAAGTAGCAGTGAAATAAAAGGAAAGGAACTAGCCAGTCTGACTCTGAGTCAGAGCATTTGACAATATCAGCTGTTGCTAACAAAAGTTTATTCCTTTCTGGATTAGTCTATAAGGTGCCACTGCGAGGCTTTCTACCTCTCTCTTACTAAGCAGTGAGTGAAACTACCTGGGAATAAATGCTGGCATCACCTCTGTCCTTTGCCTTTTTAACAGGTTCTTGTAGTATGGCAAATTCCTCAATGTTTGCTAACATCAAGACTGAGTTAGAGCCATGGAGACATGGCAGGGATATGCAAGTGTATTATATGCATTACCAATGGCCTCAAGCCTCAAAGGTTGGATATGGATCTTGAACAGATACAAGAATTTTGCTTGGGCTCATTTGTAGTGTTGGGCCCAGCTATAAAAATAGTTAGCTGTGGGGTTGGCTTCATTGCAAAAGCTGGGAGTATTGAGCTCACAGGCTTGTGTCTGGGACTTTCTTAAGGATTTATCTCAAAGGTTAGTTTAACTTATTGTCTTGTAATTGTTGGAGAAAACAAATCCAAGCTTGTCTACTAAAGATAGAATTTTTCTGTCCTGACTACAAATAAGAAGTGTTCTTTTTGCTTATTGTTGTTTTGGGGCATGGGCAGTGGAGATTGTATGACCAGATGAAGGACAAGAATTTTATGCATTACAAGGGAAGGTCAGCAGCTGCAAGTGAAGTATGCTGGTTATCTAAACAGAGGAAAGGCTGAACAGAGTCACACTTCATATCCCTCTGAAGCTGCATTCTAGTGACTTCAACACCAGTGTGTGGAAAGGAGACGGAGAGTAAATGCTAACTCACTTTGGAGCTCTGTTTTGATGCAGTGTTGGAATTAGCATATACATTTCCTGGCCCTGCTAGTTGTCTCAAACCCCTGTAATGCCAGAAAGCAGAACCAGACTGAGATTTTAAGATTTCAGCTGAACTATTCAGGGCCTTCATACAGGTTCATTAGAGCCTCTTGTCACACTGTCATACACCTGCATGTCTTACAGTCATGTAAGAGCAACCTTTGTAGCTGAAGCTGAAAGCATTACATCATTGTCTAATTTAATGCTCGCAGCTTGTGGTGGTAAAGCATTGGGTGTTATAAATCACAGATTGAAGCTCTGTGGCCTGCAGGAGGTCAAACTAAATGATCAAAACAGTCCCTTCGAACCATAAAAACCTATTATTTTTTCTAGTGAGGGATTTTAATTGTAGCAACAAGTGCAGGATGGTTTCCCCTACAGGGTAGTATCCTCTGCTTCATCTCAGGACAGGTAAAGTGCAAACTGCAAACTTGCTTTGTGCTGCTTTGCCAGTTTGCAACATTTTTGCTTTAAAGGGACTACCCAGTCTTTTTAATACAGTCACCCTTGCTCTTTTCTGATAATGCTTTCAATGGGCATTAGTGGTAACATTGGCTTTTATGCTGGGGACATCTGTCTGTTAGGAACAGGGCTGAGACCCACCAAACTCCTATTACATAGCCCATCACCACACTTTCAGTCATGCCTTGGTTTTTCTTATTTCTGATTAAGTCTGAAAGTATAACCAGAGCTTTTTAGTCTGCTGCCAAGCTCCTGTGCTTTTCACTTTGAAAGGCATCTACTTTCCTCTGAATTGTCTGGTTCTCACCACTGTAGACAAAATGATGAAATAAATGTCTTGTCTGGCTGTTCCAGACTCATCACAAACTGTGTGAAAGAGAAACTGAGCAACCCTTGCTGCAGAGAGCCATTCCTTCGGTGTAGATTTGTCAATAGCCAGAAATTAGCAAAAGCCAACAGCACCCTGGCCCATTATTGCTGTTTTCTTTCTCCCCAGACATGCATCTTTGCCTGCCTTTCTGAAACCGATCTGTCTTTAGCATGTTGTAAAGGCTTCCTGACATTTTCTCTAGACTTGCCCATCTCAGATTTGTCAGGTCAGACTTAATTGGTTGTGTTAGAAACTCAGATACAGGCTAACGAGTAGGAGCACCGCCTGCCAGCTGCTTCTGCTATATGCCTTTCAACAAATTGTTTTAAAGCTACCTAGTGCCTTTCAAGGTTTTTCTTTTTATGAGTGCAAAAGAGCCACAGAGGAGAAAGGCAAGAGAGCTTTTATAAAAGGGCCTTTTCTTACTGCTTAGAATACAAGAAGATGCCATATGGGTGTTTCTTTCTCAGGTTGTGTTTTCTCTCTTTTATAAGGCCACAGAGGTGCTCCTCTTCCAACTTTACACAAGATTTTTAAAGTTGCCTTATTTTTTAAGAGAGATTTAAAGTAGCTCTAATTTAAATTTAAAATTTGCAAAGCACTTGATTCTTACATGCAGTCCTAGGGAACTGTCCTGTTTGTAGATGCACTTAGACTTTGATTATGGGTACAAGTAGGCTAGTCAGCCACCTTAACTTGAGCAAATTCTTGCACATGCATTATCTGAGTGGCTGCAGTAGAAAAAGGTGATTAGCCCTTCAGCAAAGTGATTCTTTTTGAGTTTCCGAAGATCACCTGACCTTTATTGCAGCACTGAGTACAGTCTAAGACTATGAGGTACCCAAATGACAAATACAGAGTTACATCAGCAGGAAAGCTTTGGCTATAGGCTCTTGGGTGGATTTGTTTTCTGTTAGACATGCAAGAGCTCTTGAATCCCAAAAGATCAAGGGTAATTCAGAGCAAGGCCCACTCTTGTGAATTTCTAGCTGCTAAGAAAGATGCATGGTGAGCCGTAGAAGAGCAAGGGGGGTTATTGTGTATGCTATGTAAATGAAAGGCATGGGGGAAATTCCCATTTTGATTATACGGGAGTAAATTTGGAGCAATTTCAGCAGAGGTATTGGGGAAATCCTGATGATGGGAAACAGAACCTGAATTTGCAACAGGGACTGTATATTATATGTTTCCATTTGTACAGGTTTCTTGAATTAAGATGTAAGAGAGTTTAGGTCCAGGTGTATAATTTGGCTCTGTAAAACTTCCCAGCCTCTAGGAACGGGCCTGATTTCTTCCTAGTCCTGTGGTGTTGGTGTAGAATAGTTATTAAATAATTCTATTCTTGTTTGATATAGGCCAGTTGAGACATAGGGCTGGAAGGGACATTTAGGATCGTTTAGTCTCTATGCTTGCAAGGCCTGATGCTTTTCCACAGAATTGATGATCCTTGTGTTCAGCACTGAATGAGTATTTACAAGGCCTTAGGCTTGGGATCATGATAACCATCTGTAAATAGTGTGGTGATAAAGCTGTACTTATTACCAGGAATTTCTAAGAAGGTTTTGGTATGTGGTATCAAGGTCTGGATTGGGGGAGCTTCTCATAGGGGAGGGGAAGTGAAGAGGGAAGTTGTCTGTTTCTTGCTGTTGTGTGTTTCTTGAGGATGATGTTATAGTACCAGTGGACACCAACCACTGGATCTCAATCCACCAGTAGATCTCGGAGCCTCTTGGAGTCAATCCGAGGCTGGAGTGGGGGCCTGAGTGCCCGTGTGCATGCACGCGAGCACCTCAGTCCTGCAGGTCAGTCCATGGGGGAGGGAAGGGACAGGGGCTAGATCAAAGCTGCTGCGGTGAGGGACAATGCAGCAGAGGCAGGAGCAGGGGTAAGTTGAGTGGGGTCCTGGCCAGGTGGGACTTACCTGCTGGGGAGGTGTGCCTCCAAATAATTTTTTCTCCCCCTGCTTCAATCTGCATCCCCCTTCCCTCCCCACAAACTTACCTGCTGGGTGGGAGGGGATGGGGGGTGGTGGCAGCAGCGCACAGTAGATCTTGGCTTGCTTTTAAATGCCTAAGGTAATCTCCTACTTATAACAGTGGTCTCCAACCTTTTTAGTAGATCTCCAGTGTGTCTTGCTTTCACTGGGTCTGTTCTGGTTTGCCAGCTCTTAGTTGCAAGCATGATGAACAGTTGCACATATTATCAGACATAAAAGTAATGTAATAATAATATATGGCACATATAAATATATATTATGATATATGTCCGTTATATATAGTAACATAAAAAGCTTCTTTCTTATATTTCTAAATCTAGCTCCTCATGTGTAAATGAATGAGAGTGATCTCAGCCCCCTTCAAGATTTGCATATAAACCACCATCCAGTCACCTCAGAATGACTATCCAGTTTCCTTTTTCTCTATAGCTTTAAGAAATGGATCATTAATTTAAAAAAATACGCTAGTTTGAAAAAGGTGGTGGTTGAGCTTTTGTAGCTGTTAGGGCACTACCTATTTACACAGAGAGTCATACTGACTCTACTTTTCTCTTTGTTCTCTTGTGTAGTTGAGGCTGCATGTTTATCAAGACAACCATTTGCCTCACCTGTTAATAGCAGTAGGACTGCAGTCTTCAGTTTATCTGATGGGGAACTGTTCTGGCATTTCAATATTACAGTCAGCATGCAGATGAAACCCCA